GGGCGACATGGCCCCATCAAAGGCCGGAGGATTAGGCCTACAGGGAGGTCCCGAGCAGAGCAGCGCGCCAACCTCAGGGCGGTTCAGAGTGCCTACAGGCTGTCACCGTGACTCCTGGCTATTCAGAAGCTACAACTGTCAAAACACTAGTTTCCTACCTTAAAGGCATAGCATCCCTCTTCCCCCTCCCCCTCCGAAATGATAAATGTCCATGTCTCCTTCCCAGAGGACGTTACTAAGGTCCACAGGAGCGAAGCCCTAATTCCTAAGTGTGCCATCAATCGAAGCCCTTCCTAGCCCCGCCCCAGTCTACTTTCCCGGACTTGTCTTCTGTCACTCCCTTTCATTCTTTCTATATTTAAAGGAAACTACTGCCGATTCCCAGAAACCACCTGTGCCTTCTCGTCTCCATGCCTAATTCTGATGGGTAAATCCTTCCCACATCAACTTTACCTCTCCCTTCCCTCTAGATTCTGTCCACTTTTATATTGGAACCTATCGATGTTTCAGGTTGAATGCCCCTGCCCTTCCATCTCCAACCAGCAACATGCATCCCCCGAGACCCCACCATGAGCCGATCTGCTCAGCAGCTGGGGGTGGCCACAGAAGCATCCCTCCTCGGAGCATCCCTCCTCAGCTCGAAGGAACAGCTCCTCCTCGGAGCTCCTGCCTTGAATTAAGATTATTTACGTCCACTGGGCTCCCACCACTACCTCCTGCTCTGAGAGGGCAGTTGTAGGATCTGCTTCTCTGGGAAAATCAAAGACAGTGTTTTATATGTAATCACTCCGTATGTGGTCCCAGGAATGTGGACCCCTGGACAGGAAAGCTGATTTAAAGTCACCATGAAGCAAACCACGAAAGCCGTGGCCTGCATACCTGCAAAATGTGATACCACCATTTACTTTTTTCCAGAGAGAATAAAGCATCAAATAAAGCAACATATGGGAACTTACTTTCTAAATGATCGAATTAATTATGCCGTTGGTGCTAATGGAATGCAAGTCCCAGCTAACCCCTCAGAGAAAGCACCCTACAAGCCAAATGTGTTATTTTAGCAATCCCAATGGCTTTTCAATGCCTCTGCAAATAACTTCTGCCAAGGGACAGTATTATTTTATTTGAAATACTCTAGTTGTGACAACATGAATTCCAATGCCCTGCTTATTAGAGGAACTTACGATTCTATAAACAACTTAAAAAATACCAGAAGGTCATCTTCCCTCTATCCGTATGGAATGGGAAGAATCCACTAAAGCAACAACAGTTAACCTGCTGGCCCACCCAACTGGGGACATGTTTCCATTTTTTAAAAAGGCAAAGGCATGGAGAGCAAGAAGGCAACGCTCAGAATGTCACACACACACACACACACACACACACAGTTATTGTAATTAAAAACCTGTTTCTATTATAGGAAATACCACTTAGTGTAAATATTCTGTTACATCATACTAATCCCGACTTTATCCTAAAATCTCTGAGTACTTCCCTTGCATGTCATCCTCATTCGGGCCTCACTTTTAAAGTCACGTCAAGTGTACTTAAGATTTTCCCCAACTGAAGACTCAAAAATAGAGAGCGTGTGCTTAAGAGTAATGAAAAACGCACCTGCCTCTTACCTCTCAAGAGCTTACCATCATTGGGGGCCGGAAACACCACCACAGAAAACGGGGGACAGAAAGAGGAGAGTAACATCCCCCTGTGCCTGCGACAGAACCCCCCTCTGCAGACCTGTTACCACTGCACCGTGCAGCTGAGAGGCATGGGCCCAAGAAGACAGAAACCCAGAACGTGCCTAAGGGCTTGATGAAGCCAGATCTGAACCCAAAGCTGTTGGCCTCTCAGTTGTTTGTTTTCTGTTATAGCACTGAGCCTTCCCACACACTCAACCCTCCTCTAGGCCTTTCACCTTGATCCTCCTACACATCATGGTCAGACTTCAGGGAGTTAAGTAAACAGGGGACATAAGATCTAAGATCTACGCCTTGCTGACTTAATCTACCCTAAGGCAAACTCACATAAGCCACTGTGCCTAAGTTTCCTTATCAAGAAAAGTAGTGACAATAATCTCTCTTCCATTTCTTTAAAACACACACACACACACACACACACACACACACACACACACACACACACACATACCTGGAAATCACCAAGTACACTCAAAGGGAGTTCTGCTGTTCAGATGACCAAAATGGACTATTCCATTAAGGTGCCTTGACTATGAAGTCCATATGGTTTCCCAGTATTATTTTGATTTCTTGGAACAGGGGCCAGCAAACTATGGCACTCAAACCAAATGTGGCCAATGGCCTGTGTTTGCAACAGCCACACCCGTTCTCGAACATACTGTCTACAGCTGCTCTCATGACCAGGGACAGGGCTGAGTGGTTGAGACACAAAGTGTATGGCCTGAGACGTCTAAAATATTTACCATCTGGCACTTTCCAGGAAGGTTTTGCCAGCCCCCATCTTTTATTACTGAAGACAATAGCTAGCAAATTATGGGAGGCCAAGGAGTATAGCTAACAAGTTACAGTAAATTTTGGATTTTCCTCACACTGTACATTTTCCATATACACATATCCTATGTGTAAAAAAGATTTAATATACTGTAAACAAATATATGTATAGAGAAAAGCAATAAATTTTAAAAACCACTTTTTCTATGTAACTAGGAAAAGGTATATTAAGTCAGTAAAGTCCACAAAGATATCATGTATGTCTGAAAAACGGATTTGTAAAATTTTCTGTTTGTCTGAAGAATCATAATCTATAAATTTTATAAAATTGCCAGTCTTAAAAAAATAATAAAACTTGTCCCTCAAATTATGCAGTATGTGAATTAAAATGTAAAGAGTAAATGATACAGTAAATGAAATAGTGCCCATGATTTCCGATGTGCAACTGTTCCTTACTACTCCCCCATCCTCTTTTATTTTATTTTCCTTTTATTCAACCACTCTGCCAATCCTTTTGTGACAGAGTTTGAGTGCTGGTTTTGAAATATGTCTGTAAATAATCCTTCTGCATTTTACATTTTGAACAGGTTACGTGTATTCTGTTCCTAAACATTTGCTCAGATGCCAGAGGAGGGAAGTGTGCGGCGTGTTTTAACAAGCAGACTTCCTCCGTTTCTCAAAGTCTTTAAATATTTAGTTTCAAAATGAATACACTGCGAGCCAAAAAAATTACCACCCATCCGATTACTTTGTCATCCCTACTGTAAGGATTTATGAAAAAATGTAAGGAGGTGGGGGAGCAGGCGTTGTTGGCGATCGGGGAGGGAAAGCAACCAGAGGAAGGAAAACAATCAAGAAAAGCAAAAGTGAGAAAAGCCATTCCACCCAAGATAACCTGCTTGGAATTATCTTTTCCCCTTACCTCCTTGTCTATAACCCTTTGGGGGGGAAAAGAAAAAAAAAAAAAAAAGAAAGAAAAAGAAAGAAAGAAAGCCTGAAAATAATATAATGTATTCCCTCTTTCAAAGGCATAAGATTTGAGAGGTGCACTGGATTTCAGAGGTCACTACCCCTCAGCCATTTCTTTTCTGGATGAGAAACACGGAGGTTCAGAAATCTGAACTGTCACGTCCTGCGGATTAGCTGGTCATTAGTAGCAGGACAAGGACTAGAATCCGGTTTCCTGATCATCAGGTCAGCACACTTCCCATTACGCTTGGCCCTCTGCCCTGCTCGGCGGTAATGTGCCATTTGGCACCTGACAGCTAAATTCTTTTAAAAATACGCCTACAGCACCCCTGCTGTGGCCAGGAAACTCACAATACCTTCTTAAATAGTATCTATGGCGCACACTTTCCCCCAGTACAGACGAGCCACAACCGAGTTAGACCTCAGAAGGGTTAGGAGTCGCCATGAAGCAGAATAATCCAGGAGCAAGGAAGGACTTCGAGCGGCTTCTCTGTGGTCAGTCTTGATGGAAATCAGTTTGAAATAGACACCCCTCTTCCCCCCGCTTCTCTTACCCCTTGAGACATACACTCCCAAGACTAAACAGCAATATTCCATAAAAAGACCAGATCTAGCCAGTGTTATTATCTGTCTGACATTTGGGTTATTCTTGTGAGTAACTCCTAAAGTAACGTGGGTGTCTGTGATTATTTGAGCACACATGGCAAACCATAATTGGTCAAGAAAATAATAAAAGACATTTTTCCATGACAAAAATACTGTATTGAATGACAACCTGGCAGGGTGACAGCATTCGGTGGACTGCAATACTTTCTCCACTTTCAAAAAAGTAAAAAAGAAACAAAAATTAAAAAAAAAAAAAAGTTAAAAGCCTTTTTTTGCAGTCAGTCATGACTATGTTCCCTATTTAAATTATTTATGAAATATCAAAAGGTCTCCAATGCTGACCGTAATCCACTAGCATATATCCCCCCCACAAATCTATGTCCCATGTCAATGTATAATTCAGGCTTTTGATAGAGAGCAGAAACATGGCCAGAGATGCAGTATGTGTCCCTTCCTACCCGGTGGTAAAACAATTGTTAACCTTTCTTTGGGACATATCTGTGGCGTCCAAATTTAAAAGGTAATCACCACCTTCCAAGTGTCACAACAGGAGTCACAGCTAACAGCAACTCTGTGTGTCAGGGAGAAGATAAGGTCTGAAGCCACTCAGCACAAGCTGTGGTCCTCATCGCAAACTATTTCCTTCCGTCCAGCTGATCCGTCCCCATCATCCCACGGCTGCCTCCGTGATAAGCAGTCAGGGGTGATACCCTCCAAGTATTTCTCTAAGAAGCCAATAACCAGTCTAAAAATCATTCCAAAGGCAATTTAAAAGGTCTCTTGGGGAAAGAAAAAAAGAGAGAGAGCAGCAGCATATTTCAACTCATAGAAACCCATTCAAACAGAGAGCCGTGTGTGTATGGGCAGGGGTTGGGAGTTGGGGGGGGGGGGCGTCTAAAGGCTACGATCTCATCAAACTACTCGGTAAGGACAGGCAGGCAGGGACCGGGAGGCACTCACCCACTCGGAAGTTCGTGGCCGTCAGGGTGTCGGCAGCATGGCCATTCTCACTAATGAGAGTGGTGGTGTTCCCCTTCTCGCAGCTGTTCTGACAGCTGCCCTTGGTGCAGGTCACTTTACAGATGCTCGGAGTAAAGACCACCTTGATGCGGCCAGTGTGGTTACTCACTAGGAGCGGAGGCAGGGAGAAAAAGAACAACAAACACATCAGCTTAGTATCCATGAACTTGCCGCAGGAGGTTTCAAGAAAAATAAAAAAAAAATTTTTAAAGGTGGGGGGTGGAGGGGGGAAAAAAAAAAGGAAAGGAAAGGGGCGCGAGGGGGAAAGAGAGAGAGAGAGAGCCCACAGCCCGACAGGTCTAAGGAAGGAGGGAAGCCTTCCGTGCTCGCCGCTCTGGATCCAGTGGTGTCTCTGAAACAGGAGTAGGAAGCTTAGCAAACAGAACTCTGGGATGCGCTCCAAAACCACATTTGAAGTCGAGTCACTGGAGTGGGATTACTAACCACAATGCTGCACTTTATTCGCGGGCAGACAAAGAGCAGCTCGGAGGGCACGGCGGATGAGAGAGCCAAGCCTGACAGGCAGCTGTAAGGCAAAGGGGCTTGGCCGCGCACCTCGCGGTGAATAAACGCCTGTGTCCTCGCCGCCGCGCATACTTTCCCCGTGTCTCCACGTATGAAGTCACCGTGGCGGCCCGACCCCTGGAAATGTTTGAGGCATGCGGCATGTCTGAAAACATCTGTCTCAGATCTCCTGGCACCGCCGGCTGCCGTGAGCGGAGCCCGTGACGCAGCTGCGGGAGCCGGCGTTTGCGCGGCTCCGGGCCGATCGCAGGCAGCCGTATATTTTGTTGGACGGCGAGCGGGGTCCGTCTCGGGGAAGGGGGAGGCCGGCTCGCAGGGTCTGCAAGGCCACCCTGGAGCTCTGGCCGCTGCACCCGCACAGCCCTCTCTGTGAGACCAACGCTGCCATGCAGCGGCACAGACGCATACAACGGGCACGGATCTCAACGTCAGGTTCAAGGCTGGAGCCCCGGCTCAGCCGGGTGAGACTCTGGACCTGTCATTTCACCGTTCCTCTAAGACAGGAGAGAACTGGGACCGATGCTTCCTAGGCAGTTGTAGCTTTCCACGTCCCTATCGGGGGTCAGCAAGCGATGGCCCTCCCCCCCCCACCCCCCCAAGATCAAAATCTGGCCCGCTGCCTGCTTTTGTAAATAAAGTTTTACTGGAACACGCCCACGGTCATTCACGCATGCATTGTCCACGGCCGCTCCTGGCCTGGAACAGAGGAGCCGCCCAGAGATCGTATGGCCTCCCCCAGAGCTGCTGTTCACAGCCAAGTCCCACTACGAACTCTCCGGCAAAGCGTGATACCCAAACCCTATTCGGACGTAGTTCTCCGTCGGTGGCCGCCAGGCTTCTCTCTCTCCTGGAGCCCAGGCAGAACGCAGAGACGGTGGCAGCGGCCGGAGACCGTTGGTTCCTTTGTGGAGGCATCAGGGCCAGTGGGAATCAGTGCCCATCCTGCAGCCCCTGGGTCCTTCCTCTGCCCTCCCCCTGCCCACCGGAGGCAGGTCTCCCCTTATCCTGCTTTCATGTGGCCAGGATCATACGTTCAGAAAGTCATCGAAGAGGCCTCCATAGACAGGCCCACATAAACGGTGGTCAACATCGGAGTTTGGAAACGAAGAGCCTTATTAACCAAATAAGCCGCTAGAATTCCCAGGCCAGAATGGGGGCCCTAAGGTCCTCGGACACAACCGTGATGGAACCCAGTCTACTGATAGGGAGCTCGCTCTCCGCTGAGCTGGCACAGTTAGTGACGGGCGGCTCCTGCTTCTGGAGCTGAGCGTGTCCTCACCGCCGGCTGCGCCCTCTAGTCCTAATTCAGCTGCCTGGGGCTCACCCTCCGATGCCCCCTCCACATGACAGCCCTTCAAGTTCTCAAGGAAAACTGCTGCGGAATCAGAGAAGGCTGGAGTTAGGTAGAAACCTTCCTCTCAAGGGCCAAATAATAACTACGTCAAGGTTCCGGGCCTAACAGACTCTGCTGCAAGGATTCAAAGCTGCAGTGGTCACAGGAAAGCAGCCTATCAGGAACAATATGTAAATGAGTGGGGGCGGCTGCGTTCCAATAAAACTTTATTGAAAGAAAACAGTTCGCCGACCCCTGTTTTAAATGCTTAGAGGACACTCAAAACCTTCTTACGACTGCCTCTCAGAGATTTCACAAACGACAACAGCATTCAGATCTGACGATCAGACAGTTTTATTTCTTTACAGTAGCACCAAAAGAAGCAGAAGAAAAAAAAACGGCCTACACTCGAAGCTGTCAAACGAAGCTTAACAAATATCTTGAGAATACTTTGTGTGTGTGAAGCCCGAGGGGGGGGGCGGGGGAAGAGAGACAACATAGTCCCACTTCAAAAGAACATAAACATATTTTTTCTGGCTCTGGGTTCAATAACGAAATGAGAAGGGGTGTGCCAACTATTTTGTCTTCTCTGGCATGAACTCGTGGCACCTGCCCCGCAGATGCTCACAGCGGCACCTAAATTATCCTCCGTCGGCAGCCGAAGGCATCCAACAAAAGCAAGCGCCTGGTCGTCCTTCCCAATTCGCCCCCAGCTCCAGTAGTCCCTAGCAGGCACTTGAGATTCTGCGCCTATTGTTTTTAAAAACTGATCATATTTCTTTGCCAGAAAAAAAAATATATTGGCTTAGAATCATCTGGATTTTCAAAAAGGCAGAGACAGTTTCATATGACTTAATTCTGATATTTTACAATGTTCACATCTTCTTGGAGGCAGAAGACACGTTTTATGTCCTATTTCCCCTCGTGTTTTACAAGAATTCTGGTATAAAGGAATCTAATTCTAAAACAGACACTTGTAGTCTCGGCGGGTGTGCCTGTGCCTTCAGGCCTTTATTTATTATTCCTTATAAATAACCTCCATCAACCTCAAGATCGGTGTGGAAGCACTCACAACTGTTGGACGCTCCACTGTCCTTCCTAGCTTTAAGAGGGTCTCCGTGAACATGAAACGGATTAGGGAATACACTTTCCTACCCACGCTCCTTTCAAATCATTTCCACATAGCGAGGGTATCATGTCGAGAGAATTTAAGTTATAGGTGTGGGTTTGCTGTTGTTTTGTTTTGTTTTTAGGTGCCTTTAAAATGCCTTATTTTGGTAACTCTCAAAACTAAGTGAGCACGGCTTAGAGTTTCAAATGCCTCGCACGTGACAAGACAATGCGACTCACCTCTCAAGAGTGAGGATGGAGGGACGGTGGCTTTTCCTGGGCCACTTGGTCCCCACGAGGCCTCTTCCTTAAATGCCTTGGCTAAATGGCATTGAGGACCCCCGGGGCCTTGCATTTGGAGTAAGTTCCAAATAAACATAAAACAGATGAAGTGACCCAAAGGATGACCGGACAGCCCCCCCAGAGAGGGGAGCCTCACGGATGCGGGGGCCATTCTGGTAAAAAGCTCTGAAGCTCACGGTCACAGGGGTGGCAGAGACCATCCCCAAGGGGCACCCACGGGCTGGCTAAGGATCGCACACCTGAGAAGCAAGAGCCAGGCCAGTCCGGAGGTAACAGGGGGGTTGTTGGCACTGCTTTCACAGGCATGGCCCCTCTGCCTGCCCGCCCCCCCCAAAAAAATGTAATTTTCACTTTCCCATCGGTCCACCAGCCGCAGAACCGTGAAGGGGGCGCTTTCAGATACTGAGCTTGGAGGCCTGGCCAGGAGCACCGATCGCCTGCAGCCACAGGGCACCTCCACGGGGCCTCCTAGCCAGTCCGTCCGTCAAGACACTCGAGAGTCAACATCCTGTCTGCGGCTTCTGCCAGGCCCTGAGAGAGTGTGTGTGCCGCCGAGGAGAGGCGCTGGCACCCGGGGGCAGGCAAACCACAGATATTCCGAGTGAATGGCGGCCACGGGGATGGAAAGGAAGCCGATACCCGCTCCCTATTTAAAAAAAAAAAAAAAAAAAAAAAAAAAAAAAAAGCTTTCACTGCTGCTTCCCCATCCTTAACGACGGGGAAGAATTCAAAAATTCTTGTTCCCGACACATGGACTTCAGGCTCGAGGAGAGCACAGCTGCCCTCTTTCCACCGCTGGACGAGGATGTGACCCAAAGCCACGGCAGCCAAAGGAATAAATGGAACAAGTTCAGGACACACATCAGATGTGGGGAGCGAAGACCACCATCGCCCCTGCGTTCGGCCGGAATGCTGAGACCCACAGCACCTGACAGGCATCCAACGCACACAGCGGGGACCCTCCTGCACAGACGATGTCCTGGGGAGGGGAGGGGGACACCGGGGGTTGGGGGAAGGGGTCAGAAGCAGCCTGGCTGTGGGGCAGAGCCCCCACCCGGCCCATGACCGAAGCCAGTTCAAGGAGACCTCGGGTCCCATGGGACAGAAACAAGGCTAATAGCTCATTCTTCCACTTGCAGCTCGCTGCTTGCCCGGAGGCCAAGAATTCTTTGAAGGACAAATCATACACGTATTAAATAATGCCTGGAATAACAGGGCTCGATTGTTCGCCTCCCCAGGCTTACGTAACTCCTCCCGGACTGGTGCAAGAATGCCCACAGGATACTCTGTGTTCCTCGAGAAAGGTGCTACGGAAAAAGAAGTTTATATCGAGTCGGTGACTTCATCAGATTGCCCAGCCCCGGGACACCCTCCAGGAAGGAACACAGAGGGGATGGCTGGTTCTGATGTGGGCGCTTCTTCAGATAAGCATCCAGAGTTACAAACCAACCCCATCTCCTGGCTTTTTCTGAGGAGAAGTAACTAAACAAAGAGGTACACGGGTAAATAGTGGCTGCATTGGCGATATAAATGAAAACATCTGAGCTCCCTCCTCCTCTCAATTCTCCCTTAATATTCACTGAAGGAAACTGTATGTCAGGTATTCCTCTCTCTCTTTCCCATACACACGTGATTTCCTTCCATTTTTCTACTGTAAGGAGACAGACCTATAGAGAGGCCAAGGAGAGCCTGCTAAATCATTTCATTTAAGAATACATTGTTGGCCTTAACTGGTTTGGCTCAGTGGATAGAGCATCAACCTGTGGACTGAAGGGTCCCAGGTTTGATTCCAGTCAAGGGCATGTACCTTGGTTGCGGGCACATCCCCAATAGGAGG